GGCTTTTAGGCCAGTGGGGGTGTTTGTTTATGTGTGTCATTGTGAATATAAAGACCATTTTCTGTTGCTCCAGTGCAAATGACTGTGTGCTTATTTGCATATATCAAAAACAATGTGCTTATTGTTTCAGTGAAACCAGCCATTGAGAGAAGTGGCTGGTCACAGGTACAGTGAATTCAGACTGTGTGAAGACCTTGTTTTAACAGCTCCAGTGACTGTACTGTATTTACTCTGTTACGGAAGTAGAGCGGGTCGTTTCCTAACTCTAGGGTTGGCGGCGGCTTTGCTGCCATTGGTGGGAGTGTTTGTATGAATGGGGTGAACGAGCAAATAATTGGGGCAAGTTCATTTACCATACCATTATAATGTACATGTGTTGCAGTAGCGCTCTCAGCAGATGAATGACAACCTGCCAATTCAGAACAGCCATTTAGTGCTTTTGCGAACTATAAATACAGTTTTACTTTTCTTTCCATCAAGTTTGCTAACCTAATTTTGGCTAACCTGAAACACACTGACCCGTCCTATCATGCCACATCATTTAGTTTATATTCATCCTGAAATCTGGTCCAGTGGTGCTGTGCCACTGCCTGATGAGAGCCTTGCTGCTTTTTGAATCAAGGTTGTACTATATATAAAAAACAAAACATATAGAGATTTTAAAAATAATTCTAAAGCACATGTCCATGTATTTGTGCTAAAAAGGGGACTTCATTTGTGCCTGAAGACCTTACAACAAAAGTCTAATTCATGTTCAGAGATTTGAAGATTAGCCTCATGTGTTTGAGAGCAGCAACATAACCACATCTGTGACTGGGGCTGATGAGGAGTGAAGCATCGCCTCAGAGACCGAGGGTCATGCATGAGATGCAAAAATATTAAAGTTCTGGAAATTGCCAGATCACAAAACAGTGTTCTCAGTGACTCCATTTACAACCCTGCAGTACTTAAGTTATTGAGAAAGATTAAACAAAAAAGATATAAACCTACATTTTTTAGAAGGGGTTTCATGTTTGCTGACTGGATTTTCTGCACTTAGTGACAAAGTTGTATATTCTCCTTACACTGAAGGGGAAACACACATTCACACACCATAGTTATATGAAACCATATGAAATCATTATCCCTTGCTGCCAGCAGAGCTATTTCTTTCAGTGACTTCCTGTGTGGTTGTGGCACTTGTGAACATCCGGGGTTTAAATTACACTTAAAGATTCTTTACAAGAGCTAAAGCAGCTGTGCACTTATCACGTACCCACGACCCGTGTACTGTATGAGCATTTCTGAAATATTTGCTGCCAAAGATGGCAAGAGAGATAGGCCTTTCAAGGAAAATCCTCTTGAATATTGTATTGGTGCTTTGGTTTGATGCCACGTGTTAAGATATTTCCAGCATGCAAAACAGTACCATAGTTCTCAGCTGTCTGGTTGTAGACCACAGACTTTATGACTGACTTATCATGAAACAGACACGTCTGGGATATAAAAAACATTCCCAGTGAAAATTTTCCAGGGTTATCCAGGAAGTTGTCTAATATCAGCATTCTTTTCTGGTGACCTGGGCTGGAAATTTAGGTGAAAACATGTCAGTTATTTGAGACAGGCACTGTAGTGGACACACCAACAAAATAAAGGGCACACAGTCACTGAATAAAGCACAGATTGCTTGTAGAGTTTAAAATGTTTTAACTGTGTCACAGTGATAGAAGGCTCATTTTGTCCCTTGATTTTAAAGCCTCAATTTGGAATAAATGAATTCTGCAGATGCCAGTCAATGTAAAATCTGCAGTTCTCAGTCAAGCAATTACTAGGACTTACATCTAGGCCATGTACACTTTAGCTAGTACAGTCTTATGCAAAAGTTTAGGCACCCCTTGATAAATAACAGATTTTGGTGATTTTTTATTTGAACAGATGTTAACACAGTTTCTCTTGGAAATGGAAAAAATGCACAATATTTTCTGCAAACAGTGATGCATAGTTACTTCTTATGCCATAAATTGAACAAAAATAAAAAATAAAAACATTATTATGGCATGGTGCAAAAGTTTGGGCACCCTAAGAGTTCCAGAGTCTCAAAGTCTCTCACAAGGTTTCAGACCTTAATCAGCTCGGTAGATCTGATGCACAGCAACAGCTGTCATTGGTAAATGCCAATTTCAAAGCTGTACAAATACCTTGACTCTTCAAACCTTGTGCACACACTTGTGGACACCCAGCAACCATGGGTTCCTCTAAGCAGCTGTGTAAGACCCTGAAAATGAAAGTTATTGATGCCCACAATGCAGGAGAAGGCTACAAGAAGATAGCAAAGCGTTGTCAGCTTGCAGTTTCCACAGTAAGAAATGTAATTAAGAGATGGCAGATCAGGGGAACTGTGGAGGTCAAGATGAGATCTGGAAGACCAAGAAAACTCTCGGACAGAACTGCTCGTATGCTGGTCAGAAAGACAAATCAAAACCCCCATTTGACTGCAAAAAACCTGCAGGAAGATTTAGCAGACTCAGGAGTGGTGGTGCACCGTTCCACTGTGCAGCGATGCTTGCACAGACAAGGCCTTCATGGAAGAGTCAGCAGAAGAAAACCTTATCTGCGTCCCCATCATAAAATCCAACGTCTGAAGTATGCAACAGGACATCTACAGAAGCCCGATGCGTTTTGGAAACAAGTGCTGTGGACTGATGAAGTTAAAATAGAACTCTTTGGACACAATCAGCAAAGGCATGTTTGGAGAAAAAAAGGAGCAGCATTTCATGAAAAGAACACCTTGCCAACTATTAAGCATGGGGGTGGATCTATCATGCTCTGGGGTTGTGTTGCAGCCAGTGGCACAGGAAACATTGCACGGGTGGAGGGAAGAATGGATTCCACTAAATACCAGCAAATTCTGGAAGCAAACATCACACCATCTGTAAAAAAGCTGAAGCTGAAAAGAGGATGGCTTCTACAACAGGACAATGATCCTAAACATACCTCGAAATCCACTATGGAATACCTCAAGAGACGCAGGCTGAAGGTTTTGGAATGGCCATCACAGTCCCCTGATTTAAACATCATTGAAAATTTGTGGGTAGATCTTAAAAGAGCTGTGCATGCAAGACGACCAAAGAATATTACAGAACTAGAAGCCTTTTGCAAGGAAGAATGGGAGAAGATCCCAAGTACAAGAATTGAAAGACTTTTAGCTGGCTATGAAAAGCGTTTGCAAGCTGTGATATCTGCCAGAGGAGGTGTTACTAAGTACTGATTGTGTAGGGTGCCCAAACTTTTGCACCATGCCATAATAATGTTTTTATTTTTTATTTTTGTTCAATTTATGGCATAAGAAGTAACTATGCATCACTGTTTGCAGAAAATATTGTGCATTTTTTCCATTTCCAAGAGAAACTGTGTTAACATCTGTTCAAATAAAAAATCACCAAAATCTGTTATGTATCAAGGGGTGCCTAAACTTTTGCATAAGACTGTAAACAATCTTTCCTTTCCACATAATAGCATTTGATCATCTTAAATGACATTAAAAATGTAACTCAAACCTGGTTTGTTGGGGAAAAAAATCTCATGAAATTGCAGTCAGTGCTGTGCGTCTTTCTAGATGTACAGTCATACATTGGGGTTCTCTAAGACATTTTGGTCAACTGTTGACCACAGACTGCATGTTTTCTATTGTGCCTCTTAAACTGTTTGTGAATGGACTGTTTGGATCCATTTCAGTCATGCAACTTTTCTTTCAGTAGGCTGGAGAAAAGAAACTGATGGATGACTTTTTTCCCCAGTGGAAGGAGCTGCAGCCAGCAGCACAGCTCCTGCTGGCTCACGATCACTTCTAAAAGAATGGAGCTGGGGCTGGTGTTTTGGGTGGTGTTGTGGTGGAGAGAAAGACACAGAAGGAGGGATTTGCAGACCAGATAGTGGGGTGACATCAGCTTTGAAAAATGTGTGTGTGTAAGTATGTGTGTGCCCAGTGTCTGAGAAGCATTGGAACAAGAGGAGGAGGAGGGGAACAGAAGAGCTCTAACTCTGCTCTTTTTTCTGAGAATATTTGTCAGCAGCCTTGGATAAAACACCTTAGACATAAATTTGTGAATGTGCAGTTTGAATGTTCAACCCCACATGTTTTCTCCCACAGCCCAGACACATGCATTTCATTTAGTCTGTGTGTGATTGCATATGTTTCACCTTCTGAGTTGCACTGGAAATCTGCTCAGGATGTTTCACTTCTTTCCAGTGAGTACAAGCATAAGCTCTAACATTGTCCACCTATAGTATGATGAATCCAAGAAGTGTACAAATGATAAAACACAATTTCCCATTAGAGTTTATATATTTCTAAAGGTGGTGAGATGTTTTTCTGGTGTCTAGTGTATTATTATAGTTGGTAGGAATGTGACAAATTTGCTGCAAATAGTCTTTGCTTTTGCTGACTGTTTATTTTTCTCCTTTGTTTTCCTGTCTTGTTCCCATTTCTGGTAATTGCAGGCAATGTATAAGAGGCTACATGAGTTTTAGCTATAAAATTTTGATAAATATACAGCTTATAGCACTGTGCACTGCTGTCTAAAATAATGGCTGCATCTCATTTCCAGATTAATTTTAAGCAAGTTTGGAGTATGTTAAAAATGAGCGAATGAAGATGCTCCAGAAAATGACTTGATCTTAAGGGTATGTTACTGAAATTAAAATGAATGAAAATGAAAATTGCTGCTGGCCCCTCCTCTTGTTCAGTTTTCTACAGTGTGTTCAGTTTGTACCCATATATACATATGTGATGCTTTTAACAGAAAAGCGTAATTAGAAATGGATTATGAATGTGGGCATGTTTTCATTCATTCATCCATTTATTCATCGAGAGAGTGAGCTATTGGTTCAATAGACGATCTATGAACGTATCAGACAGCGTGCCTAACCGTGACCAGAACAGAGACAGAAAGAGAGAGAAAGAGTGAGAGAGAGAGAGAGAGAGAGGGGGGAGGGGAGGGGAGGGGAGGGGAGGAAAAAAGGCGTTTCCACGTTTCAGCAACCGGTTACACAGCGGTGGATAGCGAGGCAAGCGGATGCTGATAGAGGAGTCACATTTAATCCCAAACCCGGTGTCTCTGACTTACTGCCAAACGCTGACTGACAGGTCCTCTCACCCGTGTCCCCTCCACGGCCTCATTTCCCACGCTGATAAAACAGCAAACGACTTGAAGTCACAAAAGTAAACCAGAACCCGCTGAGACCGACGGAGTGGACTCCTTCCTGCGGCGCGTCCGTCCTCTCTTAGGCCAAAATCACGTTTCCTCAGAGCTGCGTTACAGAGAGGAGATAATCTTCCCGCACACTCCCGCATCTCTCCCTGTCTGTAGCCAACTCCTTTTGCTGCGCCCGAGGTAAGTTTCCATTCGACTATATATACACATATGTATATAAATATGTTTTCTACATTTTCCACATGCAAACATTTAGGACAAACATCCCCGGGGTGTAGTCCATGAATCGGTGCGTGCTGAGAGTGAGTCCGGCACCTCCATTCATGGGTATGCTTCATTTCTCCCCTCGCATACCGTTACATGAAGCCCCTGTAAAAGAGACTCGCCTACTTCTCAGCCTGGGTGTAAAATTTCTTTTTTTTTCCGGCTTGTTTCGGTATCAAATGGGTGAATTGCACCGAGAGGGAAGAAGTTGGAGAACTGTGGCCCATGTGGCTTTTTCCATTTACAAAGGACGTTTTGTATTATAAATTCATTCAATAGGTACCTGAGCTGGAGGATTATTAGCTTCCTGTTAACAATAAAGAATTTGCCCTTCATGACTTTAAGTGGCAAGTTGTCGAGTTTCTGGTTCTCAGGAGGGCGTTTACCACACCATTGATTAAACTAATTGGATTGGGTTTAGTGTTACTGTGGGCTCTCCTGTATCAAATGTCCTTTTCATTACTTCGTAGCCAAATATCCCCACAGCACCTATTTAGAAACGTGATGTTGTGCTATCAATATACTGTATATTTTCCCATTGAATCATAATAGGTTCCTATGTTATATCATCCTGTAGGGGTTTTCCCCACAGTTAATAATTATTTTATGTGTATTTGTAAGGATCACTGCAGTTCGTCTGGCCCAGATTATCTGGAATGTTGTTTTCTAAACCCGCATTCAGAGGAAAGAGGTGCTGACAAACCACCACCTGTGACTGTCCCGCATGGCTGTGCGTGAAGGGGGGGGGATGGGGTGGGTCTCTCCTCAATGGATGTGCATCTGTAAAGACATAAAAAGACGTTAAGTAAAGTTTGTAAAGTTTAGACACTCAGATGACCACAAATTAGTAGTTTGTCTAAAGCAAGTGTAAATGCTTCGGATCCCGTATTTGCACAATAAAAACTGCGTGGAATATACTGTAAAGCAGTGAAAGCAACAGATGATTATACATATATATTTTACAGGTTTTAGTGTTGTTGTTGTTTTATTTTAAGTAGTGCTGTGATTAACGGTGAATCTCATTAACACTGAATCTACTGTTTGTTTTCTTGGTTGATCTGTAAACTGTAAGAAAATAGTGAAAAGGTGCCCATTTCCATTTCCCAGAGCCCAGTGTTGCATCATCACATTGCCTTTTAAATCTGACCAGTAATCCAGAATCCTAATCTATTCAGGTTACGTTCACACATTGTATGACAGAGAAAATCTTTAAAAACCTCACAGGTGAGAAGCTTAACTAGGAACTGGGTTATCACAGTAGTTTCTGTGAATTCTAGACAAGAAGTTTGTAATCTTATCAGCTGCTGGCAGCAATAAAGCAGCTCTGTACTGAGTGTGTTATGTATGGGACATTTGGACTTTTTCAGAAGGGAAGTTTAAGAGTGAAAGCACGATTTTTTTTTTTTTTAAGGACGAGATTTAGGTTTACAAGTACAAACCTGTGTACCTGTGCGCCTTGACTCAGCTTTTTGGGATTCGGCCTCCTCTCCTTTCTGATCCATACAGTATCGATCTGTCTTCTCGGACAGAGAAAAAACAAACTGGGCAGCACAGCAGAAAAGTGCTTCCTCTCTCGGGTTCACTTCCTCTAGTGTGTGTCGGTGGTGTCGGTTGTCCGTGCCGCCACCTCCAAGGGAATGTTTGTGGTTGATTGTTTGCAGGCGCTGAGTCAAACACACTCTTTGGGTATATCAGTGTTAAACTGGTGGAATTTGAAACGAGCAAAACAAAAGAAAAACATCAGGTTTTTTTTTGCATAGATTTCAGTGGCAACTTTCATAGCTCTCTTGTCAGTAAGCTGTTAGTTGTCACACATGCTAGACAACAGATAATAGAAGAGAATGGACTTTATCGCTTCACCATAACCTGAGGAAGTCGATTCTATCTGCTGTTCGGCTTAACAAGCAATCTCTTATTTTTAGTCTGAGGAAGAACATCTCTTTACTGCAAACTGAAACCCAGAAATTCACTCCAGCTTTTCCCAGAATGAAAGTTTAGATTTGAGAATAGTCACTTCTGCAACCACAGGAAATAAGGAATTGAAACCTCGGTCACATCAACAAAATTAGTCAGTGAATTTTATTTTTTTCCTCTCCTCCCTTTTGGTGTCATTTGGCATGATAGGTTGTCCAAGGCAGAGAAATGAAGCCATTGTGGAAGTGTTAAAGCCTGCAGATCCTTGAATGGCCACTTAAGGGAGTCAGTCCCCAAATGCTCACATTTACAGCCTGGTTTAAAAAAAAAACATAAAACAGTTTTGGTCTTTAAAGCTAATTTCCCCTAATGTGAAAACTGCACAGGGGATGAATTTTTATTTAACGCGCTCTTTTAAATTGTATTCAGGCTAAGAGTTGCACACAATTAAGGGTGTTGCTGCTCCGAGTGAGAGGTGGGAGGGTCCTACCACAGGTGGCTAGCTGCTAGCTGTCTAGCGAGCTCTTCTCACGCTCCTCCTCTTTGCCTGTTTTTGGATTAGCTCTAGCAGGTGGAGTAAAGCACTACTAATATGGCAACAACCAGACTTGAGCTTTAAAACTGCTCTTCAGAAAACAAATGGGTGACATCACAGTGGGTTTATCATTTTGTATCTCTCTGTGGTTTTTAGAGGTTGTTTAGTGTCTTTTGGGCCCCCCCCGATCCCTTGTGTTGGCCCATCTAGTAATCCTCCCATGGGTTCAACCTCCAGCTGACCATAGTGATGAGGACGTGAGAGTGACACTTATCAAATGTCTAACAATTTAGTTTTTTCTTCGACTGTGTAGAAATCTGATGTTTTCACATCACAGATAATAAAAATACATCATTATATGTGCATGAGCCTTGCTGAGTCTACATGTTGGCTGTTTACTGGGGGTGGCCGGTCTCTGGACACTCTGGACAGTACTGTAACATATTGTCATATTGTTAAACGTGTCTGTAACAAACATTCTTTGTGTTATATTTCCCAGGGCACTGGATGCTCTGCTCATGGGCAAACGGGAAGTGATGCCTTGGTTTTGTTATCCAAATGCACCCACTAGCTGACAGTATATACTGTATGCACCATTTCACATGCAGGTTAATGAACTCGGAACATGATTATGTAGATGTTCATTTTAAAAAAGTTACTGCATTTTATTTGGAAGAGGAAATGAGCAGCCAGTCACAGTTTATCAGGCTTTTAACCTGAAGGAGAGACTTACTTAGTGTTGTATAACTGAAGTATGTGTAATGATTTAACACAGGTTAAGCCTCTCTCTCTCCCAGGCTGCAGCTCCATGCTCCATGGACGGACACACACACACACACACACACACACAAATAAACAACCCCCCCCTCGGTCGGTTGCTGCGCTACAAGTGACGCCTACACCAGCAAAAGCTACTTTTAAATACTCGCTTCCACTTCTGATTCTGTTTATCTGTATCTGCTACACTGTACAGTCTTTCTTTTTGGGGTGCAGCAACAACGCACCAGCAAAATAGTGAGGGTGTAACAAGGTGCGACTTTAATGTGATTGAGTGCAAAGCTGCAGTGATTGTGTTGATTTTACAGAAGTGCTTCGTAAACCCAATATGTCAGGCCTTAGTTCACTGTGGCCAGAATAATTTACACACATGTAGTACACCGAAGCCTACACTGACAGTCAGAGCCACACAGCAGCAGTGCAGATGGCTGAAGTGCACACATGCACAAACGTACAAACCACTTCTTTCTCAGTTTTACGTGCAGTCACATACACACAGGCCTCTCCCTTAATCTGTGTGCATAATCTACTCTGCCACTAGTCTCCAAATGAAACGCCTCGGTGGGTCTGATTGAAGCTGATAAGAGTTGATTCAGTAGAAGGGGAGGGAGCCGAATACAGCTCTGCAGTTTTGTGTGTCAGGTTTCACAGTTGATTCACTTTTTTTTTTTTTTTTTTTTGATGATCAAATTGAGACTTTTGGCTGTTTCACTGTTTTTGGAGACAAACTGGTGAAATACACGCTGTAGGTTTACATTTCCCTTTATAGCCTATTTTATGGCGTTTCCTGTTTGTTTTTGTTTTTTCCCTCCACATGGCTATCTCAGCTGTGTATTACTTAGTGTTTATTTCCAGAACTCATCAGTTAAAGTCCAGAACATGTGTTTGCCTTCCTTTATGTTATTACTTCCGTCTCAATCTCTGGTGTAGATGTGTATTCAAGATGGTGTGTTTGTGGTCGTACTGCGTGGTTGAAAAAGCCTGGAGAATCAGGTTAACCTCTCTTACCACAGAAATGAAGAATTCTTACACACACACACGTACTTTCTTACAACTTAAACTGGTAAAATGTGATGCATATGTCAAACTTGTTTTGTGTCTGTTGTTTATGCAACCCTCCTGGGACCTGTGTACTCACCTAGTGCTCAAGTTTTTGCAAATCAAATCAAATCAAATTTTATTTGTATAGCGCCAAATCACAACCAAAGTCATCTCAGGACACTTTACAAAGTAAGGTCTAGACCTTACTGTTATCACTATTATTACATAGGGAAAACCCAACAAATCCCCCTGCAGATTGCACTAATCCATTGTACCTTTACACAAAGGCTTGACTAGAAGCTTTTATGTAATACCTTTTCAGAGTTTTTGAAGTAAATAAATCCAAGGTGGGCGAAGAGTAGCCCACAAGCCAGATCTACCCTTGTCTTTGTTTAGTTTCAGTCTGGTCTCACATCTGTTTTTCTTTGCTGCCGTTAAGTATTCAACATTTTTTGTTATTTTTGAGTTAAATTACGTTTTATGTAATCATGTCAAAATTGTCTGCTGTAGCCTGCCTACCTCTTTTCAAATGACACGGCTGGTTTGTTGGAGAAATCAAAGATTCTATACCTTTTCATAAAACCAGAAAGGCTCTCCATTTGTGTATTTTTAAAATAATAAAACACTAATTTGTATCGACCTCCATACA